CTCTGTCCCTTCCTCTTAAGCTGCTTAGGCAAGGAGTCCCCTCCACAGCCTCACAGGGGCTGGGACGATGCACCAGGGACTCCTCTGGTGGCCCCCGGGCCCGAGCCTGCAGACCAGCCCTTCTCCCACACCCTCTCCAGTCCCCTGCGTGACTCAGACGGTAGGGCGCCCTCCTTGTCACCCTCCTGTGGTGCAGGGAGGCACTTTAGAAACAGCCTCTGAGAGAAGGAGGGTGGCCTGGACCCTGTGCGAGTCCCTGGCTGCCCCACCCTGCTCTGTCCCCACCCTCTGGGGCCCGGGCTGCTCTCGCTGGGCTTCTGCAGAGAAACATACCAACAGGACGTGTGCATGTGTATGTGTGTGTGTGTGGGTGTGCGTGTGCACAGAGAGAGACTGACGTTAGGGAATGTGATTAGGAAGCCAGGCAGGTCGGAAATCTGACGGGCGAGGCCGGCAGCTGGAGCCGGGAGAGGAGCTGCTGCCTCTTCCGCAGGCGCCCGCTGGCGGGTCCTTGCTGGGTCCGGTCGGCAGACTTTGATCTACCCAGGGCTTCGCCTGATTGGGCGAGGCCCACCCCAAGCAGGGAGGGCAGTCTGCTGGACTCCACCTGTGTAAATGCGGATCTCATGCTCGCAGAACTCCCTTACAGAAACACCCAGAATCAGCTGTGGGCACTGCGGCCCAGCCGAGCTGGCACGTAAATTAACTATGGCCCATTCGTTCATCTCCACCCTTGCGTGGGGACGCCTGTCTGCTCACTGCGGGGCCCAGCCCAGCCTCTGGCTGTACCACAGCGTGGGGACTCTCCGGATGGCCCACTCCTCTCTGCTGTGCATTTGCTGGGGGCCTCTTGGGCCTCAACCCTGACCCGCTGCAGGCCTGTCCATCATCCTGTCTCCCTGTCCCCATTGCTGGGCTCTGCACCCACGCCCGGGCACGTGGCCCCCAAGAAAGGCATCCGGGAGGGGTCCTTGCCACCAGCCTGCTCTGAGCCTCAGCAGCTCTCAGACCCCTCTCTGTGCCTCAGTGTCCCTGCCTGCAAAACGGGGGCACTCAGGGTTGCTACCGACAGCCGTGCACCTGGAGGCTGGCAGCCAGGGCCGACGGAGCTGCCACGTGTGGGGCTCCGGGTGCAGCCCCTACTGCGGACGCGCCGGGCTGGGATGAGCGCTGGGATTGCTTATGCAGTAAAGACTTGCACACGTTTCCTAGGGACGCTGGGACCGAGTAATACAAACCCAGTGGCTCAAAACAGTGGGTCAGGTGTCGGCAGGGCCACGCTCCTGGCAAAGGCTCCGGGGAGGGTCCTTCCTGCCTCTCTTTCAGCGGCTGCGGCTGTGGCCTGAATGTTTCTGTCTGCTGTGTTGGAATCTCACTGCCAAGGCGATGGTGTTGGGGGTGGGGGTGGGGTTGGGGATTGGGTCTTGGGGAGCCTCATGGACGGGACCAGGCCCCCCAGAGCTCCCTGGCCCTGGCACCACGGAGACTATGGCGGGCAGGCGCCGGCCGAGACCAGGAAGAGCCCTCGCTAGACACTGAATCCGCCGCACCTGGGCCTCGCACCTGCCGCCCCCGAACTGTGTTGAGTCTCTGCCGTTTGTCAGGCGCCAGCCTCTGGTGCTCTGTCTCGGCGGCCTGGGCAGACGGCACTGCAGTGCCTGGCGGTGGGGGCTCCCGGACACGCCGATCTCAGACTTCATCTTCACACCCCGGCTGGTCCCTGTGGCTGAGCACCGCCATTTCCACACCCCGTTTTTACAGTGAAAATATAATTGATTTATTTTATTGATAAAAAGGAAAGCCATTAATTGTAGGAAATTTGGAAACTACAGGAAAAATGATAAGAAATGCCCTCTCTCCCCTCTCCCCCGGCCCAGGTGCGATTTGGCCTGAATCCCAGCTCCACCTGGGCAGCCGAGCAGTGGCGGGCAGCAGGTGTGGCTTCAGGCTTGGCGACCAGGCTCCGGCTTGCCTCGTGCCATTCTGCCCGCCCCGGCGGAGAGCCCTGCGAGGGACGCGGAGTTTCCTGAGCAATGCAACCAAGGCCCGGCGCGCCTGGGAGAGATGAAGGTTCCGGACCTTTCCTGGGCGCCGCTGTCCCAGCTTCATGAGCCTTCGGAGCAGGAGGGGACCAGGCATCCCGGGCAGCCTCGGGTCTGGGCTGTGAGGCTGCGGGCCCGGCGGACAGGCCCGCCTTTCCCAGGGAGAGGAGGGCGGCGTGGGCCCACGGGCCGACCAGGTGCCAGCCGGAGCCGACGATTCACTCTGTCCTGAGCACCACTGCATGCGGGGCCCGGCCTCTCACCCGGGGGGCAGCCAGGGGATGCAGGCCTGAGGGGCCCGTCACAAGGTTCACAGGCGGGGCGGCTTCAGTAGCCGGCTGTCTGTGTCCTCAAGCCTCTTTTTATTTTTGATACAGAGTCTCACTCTGTTGCCCCGGGCTAGAGTGAGTGCGTGCGTCAGCCTAGCTCACAGCAAACTCAAACTCCTGGGCTCAAGCAATCCTCCTGCCTCAGCCTCCCGAGTAGCGGGACTACAGGCATGCGCCACCATGCCCGGCTAATTTTTTCTATATATTTTTAGCTGGCCAATTAATTTCTTTTCTACTTTTAGTAGAGACGGGTTCTCGCTCTTGCTCAGGCTGGTTTCGAACTCCTGACCTTGAGTGATCCTCCGCCTGGCCTCCTCGGAGTGCTAGGATTACAGCGTGAGCCACGCGCCTGGCCAAACATCTTATCCTTTATGCTGAGTGAACACCGACCGTCGGGCAGGAAGAAAGTTCCCTAGGAAGTGCCCTGTCCTGAACGTGGTGGAGTCGGCCCACCCCAGAGTCTCGTCAGGTTGGCTCCGCTCCGGCACCTTTCTGTCTTCAGGCTCGTTCCTCTCGCTGGCCCACCCCCAGGGCTGGGTGCTGCGGCATGGGTGCCACCTGGGGCCGTGGGCACACCTGACTCCCTTGTGCCCCCAGGGCCACGTGCAGCCACCGACTCAGCTGGCCAGTGTGGGTGCTTTGGGGACAGGCTCGAGCGTCCAGGCTGACCAGGGGGACAAGCCTCAGACCACGGCGCTCTGGGGGCTGCTCTGTGCAACGGGGGGCTGGCTGGTGGGATTTCTCTGCAGCCTGAAGGGAGGGGACCCGCCCCCGTGCAGAGCGACTCAGGCTGGGGCTCATCGCCCGGCTCAGCCTGCAGGAAGGAGGTGCCTGCAGCACGGAAGCATTTTCAGAGCAGACGGCTCAGGAAGCATGTCCTGGGCAGCCGGGTGCTCCCGTGCCAGTTTCCGAGGGACCCACTAACGGACACCAGGCTGGCCTCGCGGGAGCCGGGGCCTGTTGTAGGCGCTGCCGCACCTTCTCAGCACCTACGCCTTCTCTTGCACCATGTGAGCGGTTGTTGTGTTGCTCCAGGATGCGGTACAGCCCCAAACGGGCGAGGTGCTGAAGTGCAGAGCGTGTGCGCGGATGTGTATCACCTGTTGGTACAGGTGTGCTGCCGGGGTTACGTGTCTGTAGGCGTGTGTGTTTGCCAGCGTAAGGTTCCAGGACGCATTGCAGGGGCCAGCTTGGCGGGGGGGGCGGGCGTTCACGGTACATGAGCACATTGCAGAGCCCGCTCACCGACGAAGGCAGCAGGCAGCGAACCTTCCACCTAGGATGACGTGGAGGCCAAGGGCGTCCGCGTCTGCACGCCCTCATTCCGGCTGTATTTGCACCAAGGTTGCCATATATATACATATATATATATATATATATATATAGGCTTTAGCAGGATTGAAATGAAAAATAGCAGCGGAAACAAGAAGAGGTGTAGAACTCACAGTTCCCATCTACACCGAGCTGGATTCAAGAAGAGATGAGAATTTTTATAGGTCAAAATGAATTATTCTGGCCGGGCGCGGTGGCTCACGCCTGTAATCCTGGCACTCTGGGAAGCCGAGGCGGGCGGATTGCTCGAGGCCAGGAATTCGAAACCAGCCTGAGCAAGAGTGAGACCCCGTCTCTACTATAAATAGAAAGAAATTTAATTGGCTAACTAATATATATAGAAAAAAATTAGCCGGGCATGGTGGGCATGCCTGTAGTCCCAGCTACTGGGAGCTGAGGCAGGAGGATCACCTGAGCCAGGATTTGAGGTTGCTGTGAGCAGGCGTGACACCACGTCACTCACTGTAGCCTGGGCAACAAAGCGAGACTCTGTCTCACAAAAAAAAAAAATAAATAAAAAGAATTATTCCAAGACGGGAAGAAATATACTGGAATTCACCCAAAGGGAGCACATGCTGGGAGGAAACAGAACCCCAACACCCGTGACAGGTCTACAGAGCTTGGGCTGTGCAAGTGGCCTACAAAGACCGGCTCTTCAGGGCGGGGGCTGTTGGGAGGTGACTGTGTCCCGGGGGCGGGGGGTGGGGACCCGGGAAGGAGCCGCGCCCTGGGAAGACACTCGGCAGGTGTTTCCCGGCTTTTCACAACTCGAGGCTCCAGCAGTCCAAGCGTGCACAGTGGTCGCGAATAGAGTGCAGGCGTGTGCTGCCATTGCGGGCCGGAGCAGAAGCTGGAGCACGGACACGCAGAGGGCGGCCCCCGTGTGGGCATGGTGCTACCGGGATGTCCCCGTGCAAGGACGAGAAGGAAGGGGCAGCTCTCCTCCCCGAGAGCCCCCCACGCCTTTCCCTGCCTGAGGACTTAAACGTAAGTCCCACCTCCCTGCAAAGGGCCCCGGTGACGCCTGTCCCCCGTGGGGCGTGCCTCTGCTGTGACACCCACGGCAGCCACGTCTCCCGTTCAGAAACCCGGGACACGGCAGGTCCCCACGCGCAGGGCACCGTGGTGACATTTAATGTGGATCTACACGCGTGTACGTGTCGTGGCACGCTGGGGGCCTGCTCTGACTCGCGTCCGCGGACAAGCACAGAATCCTTCGCCGCCACGGAGAACTTGCGGGAAGCAGCCCCGGGATACACGACTCCACCAAAGGAGAAAAAAGCACAGTACCCGTTTCTGTATAAGAATATATTATTTAAAAGCCAGTTTAAAAATAAAAATTCTGTACAGTGTCATGGATTCCTTTGTGTTTCGGTGAACAAAACGGTCCCCAGGAAGCGTGGTGCCGGCGCCGGGCGCGGAGAGCGGGCCGTGGCCTCTGCTGTCCTCAGGAGCGGGCTGCGGGGGAAGGAAGACGACCGCGGGTTTGTTTTTGCGGGCACCGAGCACGCGCAGGCAGCATCACACACGTCACAGGATCACGCTCAGAGCACTTAAAAGAACGAGGCCAGCAGACACACTGCCGCACACGTTTAGGCAAAATAAAACAACACGGGTCCCTCAACATAATCGGGCTTACAAATCAGATGCCAGCATTTCGCGAGCACTTCCGACGGCCCCGCGCTCTGCTCGTCGGATTGCCGAGACGGCAGCGGGAAGGGGGTCACTTCTGCTCGCCTGGAGCTTGGGGCTCTGGGGTTCAGAGAGGCCGAGACACCGTGCATGTGGCTCAGCTTGCAGGCGGCAGAGCTCGGCCCCACCGCAGGGCGTGCCGGACGCCAACGCCCGGCCCTGCTCCCCTCGCAAACCGAGCCCGCCTTCTCGGGCCCTGGGCCTTGCGCCTGGCAAGCCGAGAGGCTCTGGAATCGCCCGCTGCACTCGTGGATGGTGCGAGCTGATTACGAGGGGGCCGAAGGGGCCACTTCCGCGTCCCGCGTGGACAGGAGGAGTGGCCGGTGTCGACAAGTGCAGAGGAGAGCACGCAGCGCGACGCAAGTACTTTATTCTTGAAAAGCTTTAAAGCTTAAGTGCTTCGAATGCACTTTTAAAAACTGCATATGATGATTGTTGATGCTTCTCTATTAACTGAAGTATGTTGTCCTTTCAGAACCTAGTTTGCATTTATTTATTTATTTTTAATTAGTTAATTCAATTTTTTTTTGAGACAGAGTCTCACTCTGTTGCCCCCGGGCTAGAGTGCTGTGGCGTCAGCCTAGCTCACGGCAACCTCAAACTCCTGGGCTCAAGTGATCCTCCTGCCTCAGCCTCCCCAGTAGCTGGGACTACAGGCATGCGCCACCATGCCCGGCTAATTTTTACTATATATATTAGTTGGCCAATTAATTTCTTTCTATTTATAGTAGAGACAGGGTCTCGCTCTTGCTCAGGCTGGTCTCTAATTCCTGAGCTCAAACAATCCGCCCGCCTCGGCCTCCCAGCGTGCTAGGATCATAGGCGTGAGCCACCGCGCCTGGCCCGTATGCACTTTTTAAAAGTGCATATGCTGATTATTTGCTTTTCTACTAACTAAAGTATGTTCTCCTTTCAGAGCCTAATTCTAACCATTACGTGCGAGGGGTAAAAGTCTCGCTCGTTCAGAGAATCCCGGAATTCAGATGTTCTCCCCCCTCCGTCCATTCCCGATCTGCTCCCGCCCTTCCTTCTGGGGTTCTTGGCCCTCCCGCCTGGGTCTGAACTGCCGTGCCCAGCGGGACAGCTCCGCGCAGCCTCACCTTCGCCTCTGCTCACATCTCTGCTGTCCTCTCTGGACGTCTCGGGGCCCCCGGACGTCAGGCTCTCCGTCCGTTTCTGTAGCTGGACAGAGCGCGGAGAAGGCCGGTCAGCGCCGGGACCCGGGGCGAGCGACAGTGGCGGCTTCTGCCTGTGGCCCCCCGCGCCCAGACGCACCACAGGGCTCTGCGGGACGGCCCCTCTCCCCCTTCCCCGTCACCCTCGGCCCTCGTGGGGGCCCTGGCTGGGGACGCCCTGCCTGAGGGTGGCAGGGGTCAGGGCATAGACAGGGGTCGGGACAAAGTGTGGGCGGCTGGGAACGCTGTTCTAGCCGCGTCGGCCCCGGGGAGAGGCGGGCAGGAGGGTGGGTGGGGCACTCGAGGAGGGTGGGGGCCGAGGAGGCCTCCCCTGCTCTGACCTGCACACCTGAGCCTGTCTCGAAGGACAGCGTCCACCCCACGGCAGCCCACAGCCAGGCCCGGCCTCCCTGACCCCCGAGAGGTGCCCAGGAGCCGGATGTGTGTGGTCGCTTTGTCCCCGTGCCGAGGGCAGCGTCCCTTCCCACGCCATGTCCTCCTCTGACCACATCAGCCCTGGGCCCGGGGGAGGGGCGGGCCTGCTGGGAGGGGCCCTCACGGCCGTGCGGAGACCCGAGCATGCCTGGGTGCGAGTGGGGTGCGAGCAAACTCCCCGGAAGGAGCACGGAGCACGCACGGGCCCCTCCTGGCAGATGCGGCCGGGGTTTCTGGGAGCTCACGGGTTCCCCGGTTTTATTGGGCCCGGCTTTTGGTGGAGCAGAGGTGCTCCCGGCTGCGGGGCCACGGTCAGCACAGCCCTGCGGGCAACGCCCAGGGTCTGGAGGAGGGGCCCGGCGGCCTGCCTGGAGGAGGAGGACTGCCCGGCGACCCCCGTCTGACCTCTTTCATGGCGTCGTCGGCCCGCTTCAACTCCTCGTAGTGGTCCCGGGACTCCCACAGCGGCCGCAGCATGAGCTCCTCGACTGCGGGGAAGAGCTGGGGACAGACCGCTCGCTCAGACGGCGCGCCGGCCCGAGGGCGACGGACGCTTGGGAAAGCAGGTGTTGGGTGTTCTGCGTGCAGCGGAGCCCACGGGACATGCACGCCCTCCCCATGGCACTTTTGGTGGCCTCCGGGGTTGGGGCCTCTGGGGAAACCCAACTGGCCGGGGTGCGGAGGCACTGGCCATTCCTGCCTCCCGGGACCCTTGTGCCAGCCACTGTCCCCGGCTCCAGGCTCCCGATCTATGTCTAGCACTGCTGCCCTGGGAGTGGGCCTGCCTTCTGGGCCCCCAAGGGCCGGGGGCAGGTTCGGAAGTTCTTATGAAGGTGCAGGGAAGAGGAGTCTGCAGAGGCCGCGGGGCTGGGGGTCCTGGGAAGGGAGGGGGTGCAGGTCTGAGCCCCCGCAGCCTCGGTCCCAGTCGTGCTGGGTGGGGAGAGTCGGGGGCAAGAGGGTGAGTTTTAGACGTGTTTGGGGGTCGAGGTGGGGGCCTCGGCAAGCGGTCACAGGCAGCCCGGGGGCCCTGCAGGGAGCTGGACGGGACGGCACAGTGGGCAGACAGGGCCACCGCCGGGTGGGGGAAGGCAGGGACCTGGGCTCTGGGGCGAACAACCTGAGGTCACTGATCCCGGCTGGTTCCTCGAGGGGTGACAACACGGCCTGATGGTGGGACGCGGATGGAGCCCAGGAGGTCAACGGACGCAGCCGTGCTGCCCGCTGGGCCCTGAGGCCAGCAGGGGTGACTCAGGGGAGGGGGGAGAGCCCTGATAGCCCAGCGAGGCGGCTGGGGGTGGGGCCGGGCTGCAGGGGAGCCGGGGAAATGGCCTGGAGTGCGGCGACCGTGAGAGCAGGGCGAGGAGGCGTCTCAGGGCTCGCGTGTATGTGTGCACACGCGTGTGCTGTGCCTGTGCATGTGTATGAGCACACGCCTGTGTGTATTTGTCGGGGTCGGGCCTTGGCGTGCGACGACAGCTACTCACCTTGGTCACTGTCTCGAACATGGGGATCAGCACAAACTTGATGAACCCAATCTGGGCCGTCGCTTTGGTCACTTTGTCCCGGTCCATGAACGGGGCCACCGGGAGGCCCTCCGACTTCTCGCGGTCGCTCTGCGGGGAGCGCGGCAGGCGGCGACGTTAGGGACAGAGATCCCACGAACGGGGGCCGCGGTGCACTCGCCCTTCTTAGGGAAAGGCCAAGCGAGCTGATTCGCCGACAGCCAACCACGCCGCGCCAGGGCGTGCCGGCATGACAGGGAGAGCCAGCCTCAGTGCCACCACCCGCGCTGCCGCCGCCCGCCCCCGGTCCTGCTTCTTGACTTCCAGGCCGTGTGCTGACGAGCCCATCCCCGAAGGCGGCTCGCTTAGTGGTGACGGGTGGCAACTTGGCAACATTCGCTGTTCTGGGCTGTCGCTGCCTTTCGGGTCTCGAGTTACGACCTATTCCGTTTCCAGAGGCTTTCCGGCGGCTGGTGACGCCGCTGGGTGGGAGCGAGCAGGCCGTCCCCTCCCCCACCCACGCTGGCGCCCTCCAAACACGGCCTTGCTAAATGGGGCTCAGGGGTGACCATGGGTTTGACTGCTTTGCAAGACTCCTTTTTTATTTTTATTTTTTGAGACAGTCTCACTCTCTTGCCTGGGCTAGAGTGAGTGCTGTGGCGTCAGCCTAGCTCACAGCAACCTGCAACTCCTGGACTCAAGCGATCCTCCTGCCTCAGCCTCCTGGGTAGCTGGGACTACAGGCATGCGCTACCATGCGCCCGGCTAATTTTTTCTATATATATTTTAGTTGTCCAGCTAATTTCTTTCTATTTTTAGTAGAGACGGGGGTCTCCTTCTTGCTCAGGCTGATTTCGAACTCCTGACCTTGAGCGATCCTCCCACCTTGGCCTCCCAGAGTGCTAGGATTATAGGTGTGAGCCACCACTCACGGCCCTTTGCAAGACTCTTACCTGCATAAAATACTCTTCCAATAAACAGTCCACCCACGGCTCCGCGACTTCCATGGGCCGGACCTCGTTAGAGATGTCGCAGCATTTTATCAAAATCATCTTCAGCTGGAAAAAGAGACTGGCATTTAGGCACAGGAGGGCGGGACAACCTCCCGTCAGGTCTGGACCGGCAGTCACAGGCAGGCGGAGGGGTGGGGGGCTGGGCTGAGGGTAACTGAGGCAGGACGTGCTCCCTCCCTCCAATGCACATGGACCTTCCAGGTCCCGCTCGGGTCCCCTCCCTCCAGCTCTCCTGGCACCCCAGCCCAGACTGCGTCCCCAGGCCCTGCCCCGTGCCCGGCGCACCCTGCCTAGTGCTCCTCCCAGATGGGCACGTTTCTCGCGTCCTGAGCAGGTGGAGACCAGGCTCCTGCCGAGCCTGAGGACGGGGCACACGGTGGGCACTTGAGTGGGAGATAGGCCAGAGGATCCAGCCAAGGCGTTTCCACCTGAACCAGCCAGGCCCCGCCTCCGGGGCTGGTGTCCCTCGGCCTTGCCTTGTGCCAGGCACAGATGACTGCCACCTGGAATCGCCGGCCTTCCAGAGCAGAGTGCTGGCTGCTGCTCGGGCTCTCTGAGGCACATGGCCTTGAGCCCGGGGCCCCGAATCTGCCTGTTGGCTTGGGGAACGTGATTTGGCGAGGGACAGCTCAGTTCAGCTCGGCGTCTGCACGAGGCACAGCAGATCCACGCCACCAGCCTCAGCAGGACCTCAGAGGACCAGCTGCCCCGTTACCCGTCCCCTCACCGCCCTTCCTGGCTGGGCCCGGGTGGCGACCCAGGCCTTTCTTTGTCTCCTCCGGGGGAGGCCGGGGTGGACCAGAGGCAGTTACAGCCTTCGTCGGGTGGGCTGGGGGAGCTGCCCCCCAGACCGGGTGCACGCCAGGGCATCGCAGTCTCGGGGAGCTAAGGCCCCAGGTTCCGCCGGCTGCACTCCCACGCACACCCCATCCTGCCCCCACTGCCCCCTTGGGGACCTCTTGTCACTCAGGACTGTCCCTGCCAGCTGCCCTCGTGTCCACAGAGGCATGTGCCTCCGTCCGGGCTCCCCGAGGCAGGGCGAGCCCGGTCTGTGCCGCCTGTCGCCGGACCGTGGCCCGGGGCCCGTTCTGTGGGACGAGACGGAACCCTGGGAGGAGGCGGTGTCTGCTCCGGCCTGTGCACCTGCCTGGGCTCCTGGAGGCTCGTGGCAGCTTCCGGTTTGGTGCATTGCCAGACCGAGCCCCTCGCACCCGGCTGCGGCCCACCTCTTCCCTGCCCTCTCTTGGCATCCCGGAGGGAGGACGGAGCCCCCGGTGACACCATGACCATCTCTGGAAACCGCCCCCCCCCATGATCGCCCCTCCAGCCCTTCCCACACCTCCGAGGACAAGGCGTGGCCTCTGCACTCCACGCGACTGTCAGGACAAGGACACCCTGCTTGCTGGGGGCCACCCCGACGCCTCTGTCCCTGGCTCCCTCTCAGGGAAGGGGCTTCGGCAGGCCGGGCGTGGGGGTGCGTTGGCCCCCTGCCCAGTTCCAGAATCCCCCCAGGGCGCCTCTCCTCTCGTGCAGACTTTGGGAATCAGCTGCCCTTCCGCTCCCCAGGGACGTGGTCCCCAGAGACTGGACCCGCCGGGCCCGGGTGGCGGGACGTTCAGCCTGCTCTACAGGAGTGTCCCTGTCAAGCAGCCTCTCTGGCCGCGGAAAGTGGCAAGATGGACGGACTTTGGGACGGGGAGGCCAGCAGGTGCACGTGATGCTCAGGCCAGACCCCGCGAGATTCGCTTTCTCGCTGGAGGCCGGGCAGGGCGTTCTCGTGTGCGTTTCTCTTTGCAGCGGGCAGACACTGGTGGACTCAGCGCGCCCTTCTCCTTGGGAGGCCCCGCCCTGGCTGTAGGGGACGCCGGGGTGGGGGCAGGAATCGGGCAGTGCGGGGTCCGGCCGGCTCGAGCCGTCCTCGCAGAGAGGCCCTGTGTTTGGTGCCATCACGGCGGAGCCAGGGCCAGGAGCCACAGTCGGCTTCGTGTGTTCTTCCAGTCAAAAAGAAATGGAGGAACGGAGAGTGCTGCCCCAGCCTCAAAGGAGAGCTCCCCAGGAGGCGAGGCCCCGCTCAGGCTCTCCTAGCGAAGGCCTTGACCTTGAAAACCAGGTCCCCAGACCCCTCGCTCCAAGGCAGGGCTGAGGGTCTTGGCTTGCTGGTCTGCGTCGGGGCTGGGGGTGGGACTCCCAGCCAGCCGGCCCCGCGGGAGGCAGAGCAGCCTACCTACCAGGGTCAGGTGCTCCTCGTTGCTGTAGTCAAAATTCTCCATTTTTTCTTTGAAAGAATCCATGATTTCTGCATGCCTCGCCATGTCGGTGGCCAAGATTAATGTGATCATTCCCTGCGTAGGAAGAGGGTAAAGCGTCAACACAGGGCGCGATCTCAGCAATTATTCCGCAGGTACCTACAGTGTGCTGAGCCCCGACATGTCGTTTCATTTAGCCTCATGCCAACTCGGCATGTATCCATCGTCTATCCATCCACCCACCCATCCATCCACTTGTCCACCCATCTATCCACTTGTCCATGCATCCATCCGCACCCATCCATCCACTTGTCCATGCATCCATCCGCACCCATCCACCCACCCATCCATCCACTTGTCCACCCATCCATCCACTTGTCCACCTATCCATCCACTTGTCCACCTATCCATCCACTTGTCCACCCATCCATCCACTTGTCCATGCATCCATCCACTTGTCCATGCATCCATCCACACCCATCCATCCACCCATCCATCCACTTGCCCACCCATCCATCCACTTGTCCACCTATCCATCCACTTGTCCATGCATCCATCCACACCCATCCATCCACCCATCCATCCACTTGCCCACCCATCCATCCACTTGTCCACCTATCCATCCACTTGTCCACCCATCCATCCACTTGTCCACCCATCCATCCACTTGTCCATGAATCCACCCATCCAACCATCCACACACCCAACCATCCATCCATCCAACCATCCACACATCCACCCATCCACTTGTCCATCCATCCATCCTTCCACACATCCATCCATCCTTTCACTTGTCCATGCATCCATCCATCCATTCATTCACCCATCTGTTAATAGCCATCTACCCACCCACCTATCCATCATCCATCCATCCCACAAACATTTACAGAACACATCTCTGAGCTAGAGTATGGTGTTCTACTTTTCCAAGAAAATAAAACCACAAGCATCAAATACAAAACCAAAATCAATCCATATAGGTAAATCCAAATGTATATAGTATATATATATGTTTTTGAGACAGAGTCTCGCTTTGTTGTCCAGGCTAGAGTGAGTGCCATGGCGTCAGCCTAGCTCACCGCAACCTCAAACTCCTGGGCTCAAGCAATCCTACTGCCTTAGCCTCCCGAATAGCTGGGACTACAGGCATATACCACCATGCCTGGCTAATTTTTTATATATATATATCAGTTGGCCATTAATTCTTTCTATTTATAGTAGAGCGGGGGTCTCGTTCCTTGCTCAGGCTGGTTTTGAACTCCTGACCTCGAGCAATCCACCTGTCCACCGCCTCGGCCGCCTCCGCCTCCCAGAGAGCTAGGATTACAGGCGTGAGCCACCGCGCCTGGCCCCAAATGTATATTTTAAGGGGGAGGGGCACTGCTTGCATTTTGAACTAGGTAATTGTTCTGTAAAGATTTAATTATATTTTTAGTGAATTTCCAGTTATACCTCAAATCTTCAATGACAAAAGTAGTTTTAAAAATTGGGACAACTGATTTTGCCCCTAGAAGAAAGTCGTTGCTTAAAGTCGTCGCTTAAAGTCGGGAAAGGATTTGCAGCAGGACAACCCTTGAGTCCCCACGGAGGTTGGGACAGCCGCCCAACTGGGGATAGTGGGGACGGTGCTGTATGTAGTGACCACTCCTCGGATCTGGCACCCCCCTTCTTTTTTGGGGTGCTCTTCTGACACCCTGCGCTGGGGTGAGTCCTGCACTAAGAGGGTGTTCGCTTGCTTGGGTTCTCCACGTCCTGTTTTCGGAGGGGCTCCCACTGGGCAGCGGCCAGGGTGGCAGCGGCGACCGTGGCATTCTGTCTTTGCTTTTGCTCCTTTACCTGCTGCAGAGGAAGACCTGCGAGAGCTTATCCTAACCACTCGTGGCACATGCGGACGGGGGTGCATGAACGTGGAGGAGGCCAGAGAGCCCACAGATAAAGAGGAGATAGCTGTCCCAGGAATCGGAGATTCAATAATGACCGTAGCAAGCACTACGCTCAGCTTCGAACTTCCTGGGAGACAATGGCCTGTGGGGCTGTCGCTCTCTGATAAAGTGAAGCTTATCGGCTCTCCGGGGGGAGGGGAGTGTCTTCCCAGCACTGGATTCTAAAGTCTACCAGCTGCGCCTGGAAGGAAGGCCGTGTGGACTCGGAACAGGTGCGGTCTGCACCCGTGGCGTGGCAGAAGGCGGCTCCCTGTGTGGGCTTCCTGGGGCTGCCACACAGGACCAGACTGGGGCTCAAAGCAGCAGGGATCCGGCCGGTCACAGTTCTGGAGGCCAGCGGTCTAGGGCAAGGTGCTGGCAAAGGCTCCAGAGGAGGGTGGATCCTTCCTCATCTCCTCCAGCTCCTGGTGGCCACAGGTGTTTCCTGGCTTGTGGCCGAATCGCTCCAATCTCTGCGTCTCTGGTCACGGGGACTTTGCCTCTGTGCCCGTGTCTTCTCTTCTGTGTCTTAGAAGGACACTTGTCACTGGACTTAGGGCCCACCCGGGCAGTCCATGCCAATCTGATCCAGAGATCTTAAGGACAGATGGAAGGACCCTTTCTCTAAATAAGATCACGTTTGCAGGAGGTGGATGTATGTTTTTTGGGGACAGTGGTGGCTACAGGGCAACCCACTACACTTCTCCCAGAGCTCACTGCAAGGCTTCTTCTCCCTGTCAACGTTGGGGGGTGGGGCACGGAGTTAGGGTTCCATGGGGATGCCCCGTGAGGAGGGGGGTGTTATTTTTGGGAGGTTGGGTAGTCTTCCTCTTGTGCAGGTGCCGTCTCGCCCTCCTCCCACTGTGTCCTAAGAATTGGACAGGTCCCTTATCTGAGGTGGCGGCAGGGCTGATGGGGCTGTGGGTGGCAGGTGACAGCAGCTAGGGGTTACGGGGAAGTGGCCAGCTCTACCAGGCCGGGTGCAGCAGACCTGTCCGTCCAGGCAGGTGACCCAGCCAACCTCTCTGAGCCTCAGCTTCCTGGCTGAAAAGTGGACTAAGGACTCATCTTGCAGGGAGGGGTGAAGGCGGAATGAGATGGCGGCTGGGATGTGCAGGTCTGTGGACGGCCACGTGTGCGTGGCAACAGTGCCCTCCTCTCGGGGCTCCCCTCTGGGCCCTGAAGGAGGTGGGGAAGGAGGGCGTGTCCCCCAGGGCCCTGGTGGGCTCTGCTGTGCCAGGAGCTTGTGGCAGCCCCAGCCACTGGAGAGAGGGCTCCTGCTCTGCCCCCCACCTCGAATGTCCCCAACCCCAGTTGGTGCACCTGTCGGATCTGCTTGAACCCGTCCGGCGGCACGTTGGAGAAGATGTTGCACTCGGGCTGGGCGAGGATCTGGAAGGCCACGGCGCAGTGGTGGTTCTCCAGCGGCGAGATGTCGTTGTAGCGGACCGCCAGCTCCGTGCGGGCATTGATCTGGTACCTGGGGGGCCGGAGGTGAGCAAGGGCAGGCTCAGGCGCCCTCCCCAGGCACCTGCATGGCGGGGAGGCTGGGAGGAACTGTGCGTGGCCTCTGCCGCCCGGGTAACCAGAGGTCCCCAAGTGTGTGTAGTCCTACCAGACAGACACCAGCTGGGAACCCAGGGTTCTCCCTGGACGGTGCCCTGAGGCATCATGCCCTGAGCCTCTTGCAAAAAACTGTCCCATTATTAATATGTGCCAAAGGCGGGCACCAGGGGAAGAACCAGGCTGCACTTTCACGTCAGAGGCCGTGGGCTAGGCCTCTGTGCACGGCCACGCCTTGGAATCCACGCTGGCACAGGGTGGCAGGGCTCTCAGGGATGTTTGACGTCACCCCACAAACACATGCAAATCCACAGAAAGGATGGATGCATCACTGAGAACCCAAACCCGTGCACGTGGCCAGGACCTGCAGCTGTGTGGACAGAGGCAGTCGCAGAGCGACACCGCGTAGAGCTTGGCCTGTTGGCCTGTTCCCCTGACCTCTCCCCAGGATGGGCCCCGCCCCCGTTCCTCTGCAGCTCCTTCCTCCCCCTGCTCCGGCCCTGATGCTGCCTCGGCCCTGCTGGCGGCAGGCCGAGGCTGCCCGGGAGCAGCGTGCTCTGGGTCCCTGTGCTGTGGAGCCATCGCTGGGGGGTGGCCCCATTCTCTGCTCGGGGTGGCGGTGGCGGCACCGCCAGGGCTCTGCGGTGCTCGTGCTGAGCACGGAGCCATGACCTCCCTGGTGTGGTGGTCCCTGGCGTTTAACTGCCCTGAAGGTTCCTGCTCAGGGAGGCCCAAGGCCCTGGACAAAGTCCCCAAGCCAGCAGGAGCTGGGTCCCATGGAGGCAGAGCTAGGGGCTGGGAGCCCTTTATCGACAGCTCATCTGCAGACTGGTCTGGGGCTGGCGGGCTCTCCCCTGTCGGGCAGGTGCATTTTAGGAGAAAACAGAGAGACAATCCCGCACATACGTGTTGTTGTAGCCTGGATGGTCCAAGTCGTGGCAGATGGCCGCCGTCATCAGGATCAAGATGTCCATCTGGGAAAACTTCTCCTGGATCGGAAAATACGGGTTTTGCCCTCTTCCCTCCAAAGGTGGGATGGGGTGGGGGGGGGCTGGAGTCAGGGGGGAGACGAGTGATGCGGGTGAGACGAAGCCCCTCCGGCTCCCGGGAGCCTCCCGGGCCGGTGGGAAGCGCCCACTGCGCCTCGGGGTGGGAGAGCAGGTGGGGACACTCCTCATGTCATCCCAGGAGCGGCCCCGCCCCCCGGGGCAGCCGATGGCAATGCATGGGGTGTTTCCCAGGACGGGGAGGGGCAGCTGATGCTTTTTTGGGGGGACAGAAGCCACCACTGGCTGGTAGCCGCCCCCAAGAGCGGAGGTGGGTGAGGGCGGCAAGGCCCACCTGGAGGCGGCAGAGCCAGACCATGCTGTACATCATCTGCGCCACGCAGAAGCAGTGCCGGAAGTTGTGGAACGGGTTGTTCCTGTAGTTGTCGTGCACGCAGAGCTGCGGGAGAGGCGAGGGCTGCACACCTGCTCCCCACGCTGCCCGGGGGCCGCCGACGGCTTTGGGTGCTCCCGCCAAGCCCTCATGCACCCCAAGTTCACCAGGTCTGGACGGGCAGCTGGGAGCTGAGGGTGCCCACAGCTCCTGGGGCAGGTGTGGGGGTGCAGCTCCCACTAGGGTTTCACCTGGGGTCGGGGACTGGGGTGTCCCCGGAGATGTCTGACAAGCCACACTAGGGCACGAAGCTAGGGCGTGAGGCAAGGGGACCCCACAAGGGGCTCGGGGCCCCTGGGCAGCATGAAACCTCAGGAGGCTTTTCATATTCTGTCCCCAGCAGTGCTTTATTTTTTTTAAAACTCTGTTGCTAAACACACTCTCACGAGTATACACGCTCACACGCTCATATGCACACACACACCCCACACACACTCACACCCCACACGCTCCCACGCACACACTCCCACGCACAATGCTCACATGCACATACGCTCACATGCACATACACTCACATGCACAACGCTCACATGCACAACGCTCACATGCACAACGCTCACGTGCACACACGCTTACATGCACAACGCTCACGTGCACACACGCTCACATGTACAATGCTGACATGCACACGCTCACGTGCACACACGCTCACATGCACAACGCTCACATGCACAACGCTCACGTGCACACACACTTACATGCACAACGCTCACGTGCACACACGCTTACATGCACAACGCTCACGTGCACACACGCTCACATGCACAACGCTCACATGCATCCACGCTCACATGCACAATGCTCACATGCACACATGCTCACATGCACAATGCTCACATGCACACACGCTCACACACACACTCATACATACACTCACATGCACACACACACTCCCAGACACACACCCCACACACACTCCCACGGCTGCTGCTGGGGCATGTGTCGCCTCACCTGACGACACCCTTACTCCTCGCTTGTCCGAGCAGGAGCTGGGGGAGAAGAGCGCTCTGGTTTGGGGCCGGTCGGGGGGGGGTTTGTTTTCTTCCCGGACTTGTGGGGCCCCCTTGCCCCGGTTGGCCTTTTTCGGGCCGTTGCCCGGTTATTTTTCCCCATGTGACAGGGTGACACCAGGTGCCCAAGGAGGCCGGGCAGGCCTGCACTCACCAGCCACCGCTTGAGCGTGATGGGGTTGATGCTGAAGTCCCTGGCCAGGCCGAGGTCGTGGAACATGTGCTCCAGGCAGCTCAGCATCTGTGGGCACAGGCCGGGTGAGCGCCCCCCCCCAGGCCCCCGGAGCCGGCCCGGGCGGGTGTGGGCGGACAGGCCTCTGCACGGCGCTGCCACGACACCCAGGTGGGGGCGGCTGGAGAGTGTCTGGGGTCTCCTGGGGGCAGAGGGGCCGGTTCAGAAGTCATGAGAATTCCATGCAGTGAGGGACAGCGAGGGGGTGGGTGGGGGGTGGCCCCACTCTCAGTGACCCCCCGAAAAGGGTTGTACTATTCCTACACGTGGAAAACAATCTCAGTGGATCACTGTCACAGTTTGAGGTTCCAGGACGCAGTTCCATCCACGCACACCTGAGAACCGGGTGCCTTCACGTGGAGAAAGGTCCTTTACTTGCCTGAGGCTGGGATTGCAGGAGCTTTGACGATTCACATCCCAAAAATGCTGAATTAGGCTCCTCTGCGTCCCCATTTGGGAACAGAGACACTTTCTAATGCCTCAATCGTGGTGTCCGCACGGTGGTCTCTGCCCTGGGTGAGCTGCCCCTCCCAAACCTTATTTCACTGAACTCTGTCTTCTACAGACATCCCTGCTCAGGTTGAAATAGATTTTGTTCTTAGTCCCAAAGAGGATTTATTGCCATTGTTGAGATCTATTTAAATACAGCTCAGTGCTTTGGAGCTAATTAAGTTTGGCAGGAAAAGACAAAACGATTTTTAAAAACAGGAGTTTGACAAAAGTGGGCCTGCCCGTCTGGGAAAAGCAGGTCTCAGCCGCAGAGCCCAGCGAGGCGGAAGGTCTGCAAAACGGGGACGGGTCAGACACCCCTAGGAGGCGTCCTCTGGCCGGGGCAACACACACCCAGGACCCTCCAACCCACCGGCAGCCTCCCGACGCCTGCAGAGGGCAGGGGCTGACCTGCTGAAGCCTGGCCCTGCTTCCCACCCGCCTCTGCTCACCGTAGGAACTTCTCTCCCCAGAAGGGCGTGTTATGGACTGAATTGTGCCTCTGAAATCAATATATTGAAGCCTTAACCCAAATGTGCTTGTGTTTGGAGACAGGGCGTTTAAGGAGGTAATTAAGATCAACTGAGATCATAACATGGGGCCCTAGTCTGTCAGAATTGGTGTCTTTGTACGAAGAGGAGATAGCAGGTGTGCACGTGCAGAAAGTAAAGGTCACCTAAGCACCCCGGGAGAAGCCAAAGCCAAAGGCAACCAGCCCTGGCAGCACCTGGATCTTGGACTCCCAGCCTCTAGAACTCGAGAAACAAACTTCTGTTGTTTACAGGACCCCATAACTTTGTTACGGCAGCCCGAGCAAGCCAGGACAGAGCATGCCACCAAAATCCCTCTTTTCCTTGTTATGTCAGATGTGAGACCTAGACCCACTGCAAGTGAGGCAGTCTCCTAACCCTCATCCTATAACCCCAGCGTCCACGGATGCTCTCTGAACGGAGCAGAGAATCCGGTGGCATCGCAAGGAATCCGGCTGGAAAGCTAGAGACCACCCCGGGGCACATGTGGGAGGGTCACACAGGGAACATGCTTGATGCACGCTGACCACACGCTTCCCTGGGGAGACGGTACAGGTGTGGGTTAAATCATGTGCAGGGCTCCAGGTTTTGGAGATGGTGGCTTTGAAGGGGCCCCTTCCGAGTGGCGCGGCATCGGGCCGGCGTGAGGACGGGAGGCGCGCTCCCAGGCTGGTCCTCCCCTGTCCTGGGTGTCGGAGCAGAGGGGCAGCAGCCCGGAACCCCCGAGCCACCCCTCGCTCTGCCCCGCCAGCCCAGACGCCACTCGAGGCAGCCCCGAAGAGCAGACACGTTTGCCGTGAAATCAGTCACAGGCGAGGGCGGTCGGCAGACAGAGCCATCTGGTGCCACTTCTGTGGCAGCTTCAGAGCAAGAGTGACGGATGCGTCTGCCGCGGCGTTTGCAGCCCCGAGCCCCGGGCAGGCGAGCGAGTGAGCGGGCAGCTGCTGGACGCGGCAGCCGGTCCTGGGCTGCGTGGGCCGAGTGATCCTGAGTGCGGGGGACCGAGGAGAGCCTCGGGGGCTCCCGCAGCCTTCAAGCTCCGCGCTTGGTAGGACAGCCCTGGGCGGAGGCCCCGGCAGAGCAGCGGGACGTGGCAGCGGGAAGTCACGTCCTCAGTCTGCTTTGCCGTGGGCAGGAAGCCGGGCCCCGGCAATGGGTGAAGGGCAGCATGGCCCCACTGGCAGGGAGCGGGTGATCACCGGTGGACGGGGGCCCTGGCGTTCTCTGGGTGCCGACTGCAGTTTTTCGGGGCGGGCAGGGTGCTGAAGTTCTCAGGTGTGTCCCTTCAGTTCCTTTTTGCCACTCACACTCCCAGATTCCTGGCACCTCCAGGTTTGCCCAAGGCCGAGGCTCCGGTCTTTGGGCACCTCTGGTTCACCACCGGCAGGCAGCCGCACACTTCCCTAGAGCTCCGGAACCCTCGGCAGTCTCTGGGGTGCCCTTGAGACCTGCGGGGCAGAGGCCGTGGGCCGCAATGGCCGCCACGCAGGGGCCAAGTCTGGCTGCAGGGAGCCGGCCGCCTGGCCCGCCTGCCAGCCCTGACGGTGGCTGTCAATGCACTCCAGGAGTCGAGGACAAAGAGGTGGCCTTTCTACGATGGATGCACAGACCCTTCAACTGCGTGGGGCAGCCTCCGCCTCCCGGCCAGGTCGCCCTGGGCCCCGACGGGTTCCCTGGGGCAGGCGGCAGAAACGACAGCAGGTGCTGGTCTCCACACATGTGTTTGGCCATCAGTGCCCCTGGTTTTGCTCTTCCTGCCGGCAGGCTGAAGTCACGGTGACCTTGGGGACGGTGAGTAACCCGGGTGATGCTCCGGAGAGGGTGCTTGCCCACCGGCCGGGCGCGGGTGTCCCGCGTCCTCAGCATCCCGAGTGTCCGGCTTGCCCTGCGCTTGCCCAGCCCAGCCCAGCTCCCCGGCGGGGCGGCTCTGTGCTTCCCTGCCCGGCTCCCCCAGCTCCGTGCGCCTCCCTCGCCCTTTCCGATCGCACGCTGACCCAGCCAGGACGGGGGGCCCCTTCTCCCCCAGTCTTGCACCGTCCTGCGCCCTCAGAGCCGGGGAGCCGCCCACCCGCATGGAGCTCTGAGCAGGCAGCCCTGACCCCGCGGCCGGGAGTGGAGGCCGGTCTCCGCTTTTCTTTCTCTGGCCAGTGCTGCCAAGTTTGTCCTTGTGCTGGGGGCTGTGATCTCGGAAGCGGGCCACTTAGGAGATTCCAGTGCCCAAGCAGTGGCCACTGGGCACGACGCACGTTAAGGCGCAAGACCCCAGCCCCACCCTTTGTGGACACATGGCTGCTGCTCGCGTGGGCTGGGGGAGCTTCTGCATTTCTGAGCTGCTGGAAAGTGTCCTTAGATTTCAGCGGGTTACAAATAGCTTGGCCCAATGTCCACGATGAGGGAACATCTTCTTTTCTTGGGGTGCAGAGAGAGAGCGGTCTGATTATGGCTAATGATACTAAACCAAAAAAAATCTCCACTTTTGTGTTTCTCAGCAAATGGGAAATTTCTAAGAAAGATCTTGCTGTGCGAAGATTGCTCACAGTCGCCTGAAAGCCACGTTTCCACTGGCCCGGGTGCCACCCGGCTCCTGTGCCCCGATGACAGCTCCCTCTCAGCACTGCGCCCCCGTGGGCACCCCTTTCTCGGGGAATATCTGCTCCAGGCAGGGGGCTCTGCCTCCAGCGTGCAGCTCTGCATGGGCACGCGGCTGGCAGGGCGTGTAGAGCCCCCGACGGCCCCTGGGAGCTCAGCGCCAGGTGGAGGCCACACACACCGTCCAGCCGGCTCCTCTCTTTGCAGAGTCCCCGCCTTGGGGTCTGTCTCCTGGGCCCTCCTATAAAATATCAGCTCGGACTAAAACCTGGAGCATCGGGCACAGGGCAGGGAGCAGAGGGAGGGTCCCCAGCAGGGCTCCACGACCCGAGCTGCCGGCTCCCAGGGTGCTGGTGCCCGAGACGCCCGCACGTACCTCGTTGGGCTCCCAGAGCCAGACGTCGAAGGTCGGCTTCCGCAGGGCCTCGATGGTCTCGGGGGAGAGCAGGTACTGGAAGGACAGGAGCTCAGTGTTAGCCGGGCACCAAGGACCCCCGTGGACACAAGGTCTGTGACCCTGCACGTGTGCGGCGGGCACTTCTCCTCCTGCTCCTGTTTCCTTTCCAACACGGTTGTGCACAGACTCAGGCTGCCTTCGGGAAAGGGCAGGTCGGGGAGGGAAACCCCACCCGTGGCTGGGCAAGGCTCGGGGGACAGAAACCCCACCCGTGGCTGGGCAGCTCGGGACCGAAACCCCACCCGTGGCTGGGCAGGCTCGGGGGACAGAAACCCCACCCGTGGCTGGGCAGGCTCAGGGGACAGAAACCCCACCCGTGGCTGGGCAGGCTCGGGGGACAGAAACCCCACCCGTGGCTGGGCAGGCTCGAGGGGACAGAAACCCCACCCGTGGCTGGGCAGGCTCAGGGGACAGAAACCCCACCCGGGGCTGGCAGGGCTTCGGGGGACAAAAAACCCTACCCGTGCTGGGGCAGAGTAGGGGACAGAAACCCCACCCGTGGCTGGGCCAGGCTCAGGGGACAGAAACCCCAACCGTGGCTGGGCAGGCTCAGGGGACAGAAACCCCACCCGTGCTGGCAGGCTTCAGGGGACAAAAACCCACCCGGGCTGGCGCAGGGCTTGGGGGACAGAAACCCCACCCGTGGTTGCCTGGGGCAGGGGCAGGGGGAGGAGGGAGCGCTAGGGTGATGGGGACGTTCTGATATCGCTTGATCTGGTGGAGGCCATGGACTTAAGTTGTAGTCTCACGAGCTCCCAGTGCGCTGCATCTAAAGAACCTCACTGCATGTAAATCAGGCCTCGACAAGCCTGACAATAAAAGTACAGTAAAGTGAAGTCAAGGGGAGAAAAATTCACTGGCCTACATTCTAACACCGGCCAAGGAGCTATTCTGAGTCTCTCTCGTCGGGGACGGCCTGGTCCTAGCCGCGTGGGGACAGCACACTTGCTGTGGTGCCCGGGGCGGTTTGGAGCGCCAGCGCAGGGTGAACTGTCGCAGGGAACAGAGGGCTGCGGTCTGAGACGTCAGGCAGGGGCACTGTTTTGGTGTCACACACGGTCTCCTAGGTCTCTCTTTTTGTTTGTTTTTTAAGAAAGCACTGATGTGAGCACCGGCGCGTTTTATTTTGGATCCACGCTGTGCCTGCGCTTCCCTGGGGTGGGACTGTGAGAGGCGTGGGTGTCCCCTTTCCCTACGGAAAGAGGCGCCAGTCTCCGTTCCAAAGCCTCGGATACTATTCATCGCCGTTCGGAACCCAGTGGGGGGCCTCACCGAGGAGTGGGCACCGGAGCGGACGCCGGCGGTCCGCGCGGAGGCTGGTAGCCGGCGCTGGGGCGCGGGCGGGGGCAGGGCACGGGGCACGCCTGCTGCACAGCCCGGGCCGCCTCTGCCATGGTGCCGAGCGTCCGCACCTCGGCACAAGGGCGTGTTAAATACCAGGGGGCTGGGGTCTCGCTGCTCAGGGGCTGCAAGCGTTGGCGAGACGGTGATCGACATACCAGACCCTGCGTTTGTAGTTACAGAAAAAACGGGGCACGGCTACTCTCCCAGGGCCCGGCTTCTCTCGTAGCTGAGAAAGCTTTTGTGCAAAAGAGTGAAACTTCCCATCACGACTACGTGTTGCTCAGGGACAGGAGAGCCCATGAAACGGATCTTTAAAAAGTCAGCTAAACGTTAAAGTGGCGTTTGAGTGCAGAGGCCACTCACCAAGTTGGCACAGGGCCCTGAGCCCCGACAGCAGCAAGGGGCTAGTGTCTCCTTGCAAACTAAAGTGTGGTCTGGGATCACTTTTGCTAAACAAATGTCGAAGAGGACAAAATACTGTGCCTAAGAATAACCCACACCTCCCAAAGCCCAGGCAGGGGGAGGGGCCGTCTCTGCAAACGTGCCCAGGGCGGGGCTCCGGCGCCAGGAGCCTGCGTGGGGGGTGGGGGGAGCGGTGCGCACGGAGCTTGAGTGTCTTCGGGGCCAGAATGTCGCCTTACCTTGGGGTAAGTGGGGACGTCTCGGCGAGGTGTCAACTTCTTGTTGTTATCCAAAAAGCTGTACTTACAGGGGCAGTTGGTCCTACGGAGAGGAAGCAGAGATTAGCTTCAGTCTGGGGGTTCACCTGTGCACCCCACGGCGGGGCCCTCATCAGAGCAAAAGCAAAGAAAAAAACCCAAACCCCAATCCACATCCCTGAACCCCGCAGACCCGTGCGGCCTTATTTGTGCTGGGAGAATCAGTCAAGCAGGCAGCGGGGACGCCGCCCGACCTCTGACCTCACCGGGCTGGTGGAAAACACACAGAGCAGATGGCTCCCTTCACCCTTTGACACGCTTCTGAAAAAGCTTTTCGTAATGACGCAGCAAGACGCCCTTGTTCCAAGGAATCCAAACGACACAGGAATACAGACAGTAAAAAGTATCCAAGCCGTCACTTTATCCGCTTCTTTCCCCTGAATCCCACACCCTGAAAATAACTTCAGACGGTTTGGTGTTACCCTTCCAGAGTGTTCCTGGGCACGGACAGCCGCCTGGACTTTTAAACGAAGGTGGAATTGCACAGATTTACTCTCTTGCACTTTGCTTTTGCCGCCTGATGTGCCGAGCTCATTCCGTGCTGCTGCACAGAGCTACCTCCGTTTCCGGATGAAGCCGAGTATCTGCCTGGTCCCCACGGCGTGGTCCCCAGGGCGTGGCTGTGGCACCCCGTCATCAGTCCAGCCCCAGTGCTTCCAACTGTCTGTGCTACAGTGTTGGCAGACGAATCTTCCGCGTGACTCTGTTTCCCTTCACCACTGGACATCAGGACACCCCACACAAGAGCAGGACAAAAGGAGCCAGGTGTGTGCGGCGGGGAAAGCCACCTGCTGACGGCACGGCGGCTGACCGTGGAGGGCCTGCCCCCGCAAGGCCTGGCCCCCGGCAGCGGGGTACGCCGGGGGAGGGAGGCTGGGCAGATCGGGGGACCACCTTGGACGTTCACCTGCTTGGACGTGAGTGAACACGCCCGTTCAGGTGGAGCATGGTGGGGGCGGGCACACCCAGGTCATTTGGGATCCCCCAGGTTGGGGCACGCACGGCATCAGCCGAGCAGCAGAGATTGTGCAGTGTGTTAACAAAGCTACCTCTTCTGGGAGAGCGGCTTAATACAGCAGAGCGAGAGCGGTAAAGAGCCTACACGTCTGCTCTGGGGAATTCTGAGGAAACGAATCAAGCAGGAGCCGACAGCTCTACGAACAAAGACATGCATCGCAGGGGTATCTGTTGTTACAGAAACGAAAATCCAAACTAGAAGACGCCGAGCGTCCCCAAATGGGAAGCCATTTAAGCCACCCTGATGGACTACGCTGCCGTCGTGAAGATGGTTACGGGTGTTGTTTGAAGTGAGCGGACTGCAGGTGAAAAGGGAAGATAAAACTGTTACGTGCGGCGTGCAAGGAAAGATAATCCCGAAACATTTACCGAGGCCAGGGGGGTGGCTCACGGCCTGTAATCCCAGCACTCTGGGAGGCCGAGGCGGGAGGATTGCTCGAGGTCAGGAGTTTGAAACCAGCCTAAGCAAGAGCGAGACCCCGTCTCTACTAAAAATAGAAAGAAATTGGCTGAGTGGGGTGGCTCACGCCTGTAATCCTAGCACTCTGGGTGGCTGAGGTGGGAGGATCACTCAAGGTCAGGAGTTCGAAACCAGCTTGAGCAAGAGCGAGACCCCTGTCTCTACTATAAATAGAAAGAAATTAATTGGCCAACTAATACATATATAGAAAAAATGAGCCGGGCATGGTGGCGCATGCCTGTAGTCCCAGCTACTCGGGAGGCTGAGGCAGGAGGATTGCCTGAGCCCAGAGTTTGAGGTTGCTCAAACGCCACGGCACTCACTCTAGCCTGGGCAACAGAATGAGACTGTGTCTCAAAAAACAAAGATTTACGGAGCTATGAGGAAAAAAGAATACATTTGGTGGGTTAACAAAGAGCGCTCCATTGTGGTCTTCTGGAAAAATCCATGAGCTGCATGTTGGCTACAGTTTAATCTATTTATTGTTCACAACACTGTCAGTGAGAAAGCGGTTACAAAAAACCCTATTTTTTAGTTGCTTTTCAAAACTAGTTGTCAAGACTCAGAGCAGGATTGTGCCCGGGTGTAACTGGGGGTCTTGCCGGGACCACCCCCATCCCTCAGCACAGACCGGGAGTGTCGCAAGGAGACGGCGCCATTCTCAAACTTAGGATGATAAATCTACTTCCTCTTCCAAGAACGAGCCCTCGGTATTGTTTTCGCGGCATGCTGCTCTCTCTTCCCTGGTGGATCCACTGCATAAAGAAAGTCCTCTGCCTTCCTGGGGTGGTTAATCCTTCCCCGCCCTGACGTCTCGGGCGTAAACATTTGCGCACGAGCCGTCTCTGTGTGTCGTCTGCGGCCCCCGGGAGGGTCATGGAAGTCTTCACCCAGCAGGGCGGTTTGACAGCTGGAATCCAGCGGTTTCCCGGCAGATCCCAGCGCTGGGAGCAGTGAGGGTCCGAGCCCGCCTGGCCGGGCAGCCCCTCGCTCTGCGTTTGTTGCCACGGGAACAAGCATCCTCAGTGCACAGAGACTCCCCTTGTCATTCTGTTTGGGGCTGACACTTCCTGGGCTCCCCATCCTCCCCTGCCCTGCAGCCCAGTGCAGGGGTCAAGGCGTGTGCTCCTGGTGACAGCGGAGGTCACAGAGTCCCGGAGCCCTGCGTTGCCCCCGCTGCTCCTGCCGCCTGCCCAGCCCGGAGGACCGGCACCTTCCGCACTGCCGGCGGGTGCGGGGGCCAGAGTCCTGCCCTGCCCTACCTGGGAGCCGGCGGCTGGGCCTCTGCCCTCCGGACGGGCAGCCTGCTCCGGGGTGCCGCCGGGCGCGGGGCGCGCTGTGTGCGTGTGAACGCAGGTCATGGCCCAGGCTCACGCCAGCTGCGCGGCACAGGGCTGGGCCGACCGCCGGCTGTGTCCTCTCCTCTCTGCTCCCCGAGGAGGCAAGCGCGCCCGCCCCTGGCTGGGCCGACACCTCGCAAGTGTGATTTCTCTCCCTGCAGTGCAGGCGAAGGGACATTTTAACACGCCTGGTCCCAGGGACCTCGACCGCTACACGGCACTCACGCGTGGTTAGAACGGAACCCGCCACCAACGGCAGGGGGTAACGCAAACAGCCTGTCGTCTCTACTCTGAGTTTCTTTCCATATAAAGAAACGGGAAGGGGCCTGGGCGGGTGAGTTGCTGTGCGCGAGACCGGAGCCCTGCGTCTGTTTCTCTAGACGTGTGGGCAGCCTGGAAACTCCCGCCCCCTTCCGTTTCAGGTGGAGGCGTCCCGTGTTTCTGTCTCTCACCTACGCGGCTGCTGCCGGCGCCGTCTGCCGAGAATGTCGCTCCACCCGCCTGGCCGGGACTGGAGAATCTCCCCTTCTGCCGGCGCCAAGAACACGCGCTTCCGGGGGGAGCGTGGACAAGCACGCTGCTCGGAGGAGCCCATGGGCCCGCGCTTGCCCCCGACGGCGCCTGGCTTCCTCCCATGTTCTGCTTCCCCACGGGGCGGGGCGCGGCTGGACCAGGCCCCCCTAGAGTCTCATGCGGGAGTCCTGACCCCCAGTGCCGTGGGCACGGCCGCGTTAGGAGACAGGGCCGCTGCAGATGCAATGAGTCGAGCGAGCCGAGGTCAAGGCGACCCCCTACGCCAGGGTGACTGGTGTCCTTGTAAAAAGGGGCATTTGGACCCAGAGACAGACGGACACAGGGAGAGTGCCAGGCGAAGACGGGCAGGGGTGCAAAGGCCACGCCAGCAACCACGAGGCGCAGGAAGGAGAAGCCAGGAGGGGGACCCCGGAGCCTCCAGAGGTGGCAGGGCCTGGACACCTTGACGTTGGACTTCCCGCCCCCGGGACAGGGAGGATACAAAGGCCTTTTTCTCACTGTTCTTTTTTTGGAGCTGGATGCAGTGCCGCTACCCCTCGATCCGCAGGAGGGTGGGCGCCTACCCCGCCCCGAGCTGCGGGTGCTCTTCCGGCACCTGGCCACTGAGCAGCAGGCCCCAGGCGGAGCGGCGCCTCCACATCGTGCTCCCCAGGCCAGACCCGACGGAGTCGCACCAAGCCCGCGGCCCCCGCCGACCTCCGCAGTGGCCGGCCACACCTTACCTGCTGCTCCTGGCCGCCAGCTCCTCCCTCATCTTCTTGATGTCGCTCTTGCATTTCTCGATCTCCACCACTTTCAGTCCTTCCACTGGGCAAAGAGACACAGCAAGGGGTTACCGGGGCAAACGCGGAGCCTCTCGCAAGGCTGGCGCTACGGCCGTGGGGGGAGGGGGGTTCCCACTGCTGCCCCTCCCCCCTCCGCCCCCGACCAGCTCAGCCACGACAGACTCTCACGCCACGGGCACGGACGCGGCCACGGGGAACCACGGCATCCTTCCAGCTGCTCAGTTTCCAGGGGACCCCCTCCCCCTTCCCTACATCTTCCCTCACCCCCTTCTTGCTCCATACCCCTAAGCACCAGCTGAGGACAAACAAGTCTTCTATTCCAAAAAAATAAAAAATAAAAGAGAGAAAAGGGCAGAAACGTGTCCCCATGCATTACAATGCAGCGAAAGGCACCCCTTTCTCCTCGAGGATTAAGATCTCATTAAGATAAAAGCTTTCCATTTTAAAGTCCCCAGCGGAGCAGTTCGCCAGGAGAAACTGTTGACTCAAAGCAGATGAGAAATAAACAGGCGCAGTTAAGGATTAGCAGAACCGGGGCTTGGTCGCCGCATTCCCGGAGCCCGGAGGCAAAGGTGCGCCCCGGCAGTCGGGCGCTATTTTTCATCGGGAAAACGGCCTGGAGCTCAGGCTGCCAGGCGAGCGCCAAACTTCAGGACGCTGGATCTTGGCAGGCTGCACGCTGAGCCCAGAACGCTGCCAGGAGGCAAGGCAAGCAGCTTTTGCAAAGGCTTTTAGATCACAATCGGCTCAGGAGACAGAAAAGAGCTCGGTTACTTGGCAATCACACCTCCATTCTTATGCAAAAAGATCCAGCCCACAATGTCACCGTATTCCCCTTTTCATCCAGCGTGGCTCTGAAAAACGCTAAAAATAATACACGAGTGATTCCTAAAGGAAAAACAAAGCGACTGGGAGACTTCAGCTGGTTTCTGACAACCCGGCCCCCCCCTGCCACCCAGGCCACCCAGGAGGAAGCGCCCCTGCTCTAGAGAGCCGGGCAGGGTGGGTCTCCCAGGGCAGCCTCCCGGGTGGGTCTCCCAGGCACTTCTGGGGCCGGAGGCCAAGCGTGTCCCTCACTTCTGGAGGACAGTGCTTCTTTCTGCCCAAAGGGACGAGCATTCGGAGGGTCTGGTGTTTGGGTCTGGCTGTGCCGGCTGGCTCCGTGCCAAGGAAACCTTCTGCGCCCCTCCCTCGCAGGGAGGGGGCCTCGGGGACCAACAC